CCCAGCCCTAAATGATGATCTTTAACATATGTATAATGTTGAGGATAATAAAATAAGCGTTCACATACTGGGAGGTTAAGAAGTGGAGCCCTGCCACTGTCTACCCACAAGTCTTGTTAATTTTTTTAAATATTTATTTTATTTCTTAGTTTTAAGTGGATACAATATCCTTATTTCACATTTATGTGGTTCTGAGGATCGAACTCAGTGCCTCAAGCATGCCAGGTGAGCACTCTACCACTGAGCCACAACCCCAGCCCCTTGTTTTTCTTAAGTTGGGGTCTCATCCTTGCCTAGACTGGCCTCCAATTCAGCCCTCCCACCTCAGCCTCCAAGGGGCTGGGCTTGTCAATGTCATTGACATTTTTATCATGTTCTTTTCTGATTGTGAACCCCTCCCACCCCCACTCGTAGACACTATCCTAACTTTTGTGGTAAATCACTCCATTGTTTTTATTATTAGTTGTGTAATTATGTTTGTATCACTAAAGAGTCATTTGTTTAGGTTCCCTTGTTTTTGAATTTTTATATAAAGGAAGTCATACTGTTCACACTTGTTTATTTTGTTCAACCTAGTTTAATAGGTTTATCTATGTTGTTCACTCATTCTTTATTCTTTAGTATTACATCGTGTTATTATACCAAAATCTTCACTCTTTTATTAATTATCAAAGTTGTTCCCATTGCCTCTGACATTTCCTTTGATAAATAGTGCTTTTTTTTTTCTTCTTCTGTATAGGGGATTGAACCCAAAGGTACTTGACCACTGAGCCACATTTCCAGCCCTTTTTTATTTTTATTTTGAGGTAGGATTTTGCTGGGTTGCTTAGGGCCTCACTAAGTTGCTGAGGCTGGCCAGTGCACCCAACTGATAAACAGTGCTTTAAAAAATTCGTATCTTCAGTTGGGCATGGTGGTGCAGGCCTATAATTCCAGTGACTTTGGAGGCTGAAACAGGAGGCTCCCAAGATTAAAGCCAGCTTCACCAAATGTAAGGCACTAAGCAATTCAGATCCTGTCTCTAAATAAAATACAAAATAGGACTGGGGATGTGGTTCAGTGGTGGAATGCCCCTGAGTTTAATCCCCAGTACCCCCCCACAATAAAAAAAATAAAAATCGTATCTTCAAAGCCAGCCTCAGCAACTCAGCAAGGCTCTAAACAACTTAGCAAGACCCTGTCTCAAAAATGAAAAATAAGGGCTGTGGATGGTGCTCCGAAGATAAGTGTCCCTGGGTTCAATCCCTGGTACCAAATAAATAAATAAATAAATAAAACTATACGTGTGTCTCCTGGTCTTAAGAGTATGTGGATATTTCACTTGGCCATGTGATGTCAAGTTGTTTTCCAAAGCATAGGTCGTACCGACTTTCAACCTCTCCCTCTCCCTCTTAGCTCCAGCAGCATATGAGTCCTCAGTGCTTCTTCACATTCTTGCTAATCTGTGGTACTACGATTAGTATTTTTTTTTTTGTTATTCCAAATTAGTGCATTGTTTAAAACCAACTGAAGATGGGTATCTAGGTTGTCCACTAGGCCTTTGCTGATGCAACTGGGTACAATTTTTTTTTTCATGGTTTGTTATTGTGTGACAGTTTTCCATCTTGTTAAACTGTTCCCTGCTACTTTTTTGATGAGTGAGTACAGGGATTTCTTGCCCTCCCCTTTTTTGGTCTGTTCCCATTAGTGCTTCTTGGGTGTCAGCTTGATGTGTGAGATGGACAGAAATACAGGGAACTCATCATCCTGTCATTAGTTGGGTCTTGAGGTCTTGAGCTCTTCTGCCTTCTCTCTGCCTTTCAGGATCTTACGTTTGTTTTATATACAGCATTTAGGGTTTTCAGCTGTACTTAGCTGGAAGAAGAGTGAGATGTCTCTCTATTCCATCTTGTTGGGGCTGCTGGGATTTTGATAGGTATGGGTTGAATATAAATAAATTTGGGGCATAATTGACATCTTTATAATATTTTCTTTTGAATTCAGGGCTATGCACATGCTAGGCAAGTGCTCTGCCAATGAACTACAGACCCAGTTCCCATATTGTCATGTTATTTTTTTAAATGTGTGTTCAGTTCCATACTTGTTCTCCTTTCTGCTTCTCCAGTGATGCAGCTGTCAGGCGTTTTGTTGTCCCACACAGGTCCTTGAGGTTCTAGTTTTGGGTCTCTTCCTCCTCGTGTGCTTCCTTGTTTGTGGGGAGAGGAGGGTAGCCCAGGCTCCTGCCCCCACCACAGCTGCAGTGAAGGAGGGGAGATGTAGAGGTGCCCCTTCTGGAAGGAAGGTGAGGGCTCTGCCACAGTCCTTCTTGTCCCTGCAGAGCTGGGATGTAGGTCTGTCCTGGCCCTTAGCCTCTATGCTGGGGGAGGGGTGCCTCCAAGTCCTGGCAGAGGGGATGAGAGGGCTCTGCCACAGTTGCCTAGGCCATGCTTCTTGGTGAAGTGTTGGAGAGGCACACATCTTTTTGCATGGTGTTCGCCTATAGTAGGGAAAGTGTGTTGTTTCTGTCCTGCTTGGTTACGCTCTTGCCAACCCTTGACTAAAAGAAACAAGGTTTCTTGTGTGTGACCGTGGGCATGTCTGGGCCACAGGCCTCTTGAGGTCCAAGGCCTGCTACATAAGTGTTAAACAGCAACAGTTAACAAAGACAACAAGGACCTTCTGAGTCCATTTTCTTTTTTCCATCTTCAGAGTCTTCATTTAATTGCTTTATGAGTTTTGAGCAGTGCTTATTTGTTATTTGGTTGTTAGTAGAAGGAATAATGAGGAAAGTGCTTGCTCCATCATCTTGTGAACTGGGGGTTTCAGGAAAAAAACTTCTATGTCTTGCTACTTCTCATTGTCAGTTTTGTTTTTTAAGGCTAAGGATTTTATTCTGGCAGCTTTTGTTATTTTTTTAGCTTTTGAGTAATACATTAATATCTATATTGTTAAAATGTCATTTTACTCTGAGCATCTTCCTTTGGTCTCATCAGGTTTTCAGCCTGAATTTCTGTGGCATTTTTCCTGAGAGCCATACAGGTAGCTGAAATGCTGGGAGGTTAGCGTGGATTGTCTACTTACTCTTTTAAGGCCAGTGAAGAATTTTGTATATGTGATGTTTTCTGGGGAAGAAATGTTATAGACTTGATGATGGAAAACAGAAATAGTGAGCTGGAGAGTCGTTAGAATTAGGCCAGATTTCAGTTTTTAAGGCATACCCAGTTTCTTAGCCTCTGAGAGTAATTGTGTCACAATTCTCTCTGCTTAGAGACTTGCTAACAAGATCTGCATGTAACTTCTAAAAGCTTAGGGGCCTTACTGTCTTTACCACCTAAAAGGTAGGAACAGGTGTACTACACCAAATGGCTTTTTTTTTTTTTGATGATCTTAACATTTTCCTCGTCCCCTTCACCCCCGCTTGCGTGGGCTCTCTCATCCAGCGAAGAGGTCATGGAACAGGGTAGAGGAGAGTGTGGCTGTGGAGTCGCTAATCAAGACCTCTGGAGACCAAGCAGGATGCAGGTCTGATTTTACTGCGCAGTTACCATGTATATGTAATCAGGCAGCAGCTAAGCAGATTACAGGCAGCCATCAATGCAATTTCTTGCCACATGTCCTTGCAGCGACCATTTGAGGAGGGGGCTATGGAGCAAGTACTGGGACTGCAACACATGGCCTCACACAGAGGGCTGTGCCTCCGGGGTAAGCAGTTTCCTGCTCACCGGCCTAGCACAGGGGAGTGGTTTGTCACTCAGACGCCCTTAACTTATGCCATGTATATAGTACCCTGCACTTATCCCCACACCCCCTCCTTTTTTTGGGTATCAGTGATTGAACCCAGGAGTGCTTAACCACTGAGCCACATCCCTAGTCTTTTTATATTTTATTTAGAGAGAGGGTCTTGCTAAATTCTTGGGTCTGGCTTTGAACTTGCAGGCCTCCTGCCTCAGTATCCTGAACCATTGGGATTGTGGGCATGTGCCAGTGTGCCACTATTCTTAATGAAATGGAGTCAGATGAGAAATTAAATCAAGGTGCTTGCAGTTGCTGGGTGGAGTTTGAAAAATTGTCAAAATATTGTTTGTTTTTTAGTTGTGTTTGGTGGGCATAAAGTTTGACATATTAAAAGAAATTTGTGCTTAATTTGCTTTAACATTTTGTTTAAGAGTATAATGCATTCACTAAAGCCAGTACTTTCCCCACATCTCTGTTGCTCCAAGGTGGGAAAGGTTTTTATTCCTGGACTACCAGCTCCCTCCCTAACAATGTCCAATACCATGCCGCGGCCCAGCACGCCCCTGGACAGTGCCAGTACTCCTAAGCCTCTGGGTAAACTGTTGGGATCCTTGGATGAGGTAAGAAGTGGATTAGGTGTTAGCAAAACTATTTATTATCTATTAACTATTTATTGTCTATTTTAGATAATACTTACAGAATGTGTTTTTGAACACACATGATGAAATTGCCATACATTAACCTGTCCTGTGACCTGTGTGCTACTCTCTAGAACCCTTGATGGTTCTAGAGAGATGAAAGTGATATATTCTTTTCCAGCTAGGGAACTCGAATGTACTTGGATGGAGTAGGTGTACTGTCTAAGAAATTATAATTTAGGGTATACTGTTTTTATTACTATATTATTAGGGTAGACTGTTTTGACCTTTGAGAAACAAAACGTTCCCTAGACTCACTGAGGTAAAGATGGATCCAGTGGCATGATGTGGCAGAGCCAGAGTTTCATCTCTGAGAGGCACATTGTACTGGGAGGCTGAGTATGGAGTCTAAACAGAAAAGGCCTTGGGAAAGGAGGAGTCACAGACACAGGCCTGAAGGCAGCGAAGTGGAGAATAGTTGATAGTGTGTTGACATCTCCATCTCCCAACATGGTAGGGACTCCATGGATCTGTTGAATGGACACTTAGATTTTAGTTGACTTCGAGGTGAGGCAGGGCAGGAGGGATGGTGGTAATGGTAAACACCTGCTCATTTCCTGTGTGTGAGGCACTGCCATGTGTTTCATAAGTATAAATGCATTGAAGTCCTGAGAACGGCTTTGTTGACTGAGAAGATGCTAGATGATCCTTGTTTATAACTGGACACAACTGGATACATAGACGCCACTTGTCCAGTGCCATAAAGCTAATGAATAGTAGAGCTGGGGTTTATAGGCTTTCTAACATGCGCTTAAAGGTAGAAAGGATAAAAGCTGGTTTTATTCTGAATGCAATTGCCTGAGCATTACAGGTTTTTGAGGAAGGGGTTGTGAGTGTAATGGTATGTTTTAGACAGGTTTCTCTTAGAATTGGAGGTAGGGAGACCACTTAGACTCTGAATGAGGTCTGCATCCATGTGAGAGATGCAGAAAAGATCTAGCTAGAGTGGTACGAGACGAGAGGGGGCCGGTGACATACGAGACCTGGGGAGGTGTAAGTAACAGCTTGTCACCTGATTGGTTTTATACTGCTGGACTTGGGAGAGGTGCTGTGGAACAAAGCTCAGACTTCCCTAAGCTACCTGGCAGGTGCCTGTCTTTGTTAGTTTAGGTAAAGAAGGGTATATTTGAGGAACACCTAAATGCAGATATTTAGGGGAAATTCAAAGGGAAAGTTGGTGCTGGCAGTTATACTGAGTAATGTCTAGGGCCTAGTTTAGTTTTTAAATATGCACATCATTGAGCTTTTTCTCTTTAAGCGTATTTGCAGGACTTTTAGAAAGGAAGCTGGAGAAGTATCACAGGGTTTACGTTATTTGGAAGTAATGTAAAATGGTTTCCAGCTTTTTGAAGAGTTCCATAAACTCAGGAATCAGTAGTGTCCTTTGAGGTCACAGGAGACTGTGGTTTCCCACTGGCTGTGGGCCTTCCCACTTCTCTGGCAGATTGTACAACTAGGCCTGGGGCCGGTAGCACAGTCCGCTGGAGCTGCATTTTTCCTGACTGTTGGAATGAAAACTAGACAATAAACACATCTTAGACATGATTGGTTCTCAGTGTTGACAAGATGTTCACCTGGGGAAGTTCTAGATTCAATACAGAAAGGGCCAGAAGTCATGGCTAGAGACTGAAGATTAGAAGCATCTATAGTTACCATCAAAGAGCATTTAATTTTTTTTGTTTGCATATTTGTAGCTAAAAATATTGGCTCTTATATTTTCAAATAAATACTTGCTTAGAGGAGAAATACCACTAAATATGGGTCTCATTTATCTACTTTTCATTGCTATCCTTTTTCCCTGCTTTCTTAGTTCCTTAAGTCACGTGTGCCCTGCCTGCCTCAATTTGCAGGTTGTGTGTCTAGCTCTGTGAAGGGTGCTGTGGGCTTCTCTTTGCTGTGGCCACTCTGGCATCCTCAACCAATCTGTATGCTCCTTTGCCACCCAAATTACAGATGCCCAGAGCAGGAAAAGCCCCTCCCTGTGGCTCCTGTCTCTCTCAGATCTTGGTGGCTCCATCTAAGCTTGGTGGCCTCCCTAACTTTCCAGAGCTTTCCTCCATTAGATGCATTGCTGTTGTTTCCTGTGGGGAGGTTGGTCTGCTGCATGGTACTATATGGTAGGTGCAGTAGAATGGTTTTAAATCATTATATGAGATCATTTGTTAGACCATATGCACATGAGAAATACTTTCTTTTATCCTTAATTTTTCAAAAAGTACTTCATTTGTCTTTTATTTATGACGTTTTACAGGCTGTTCTATTGTCCCCAGTTCCGGAACTGAGGGATTCTTCCAAACTTCATGATTCTCTTTATAATGAGGATTGTACCTTCCAGCAGCTTGGAACTTATATTCATTCTGTTAGAGATCCTGTCCATAATAGAGTAACTCTAGTAAGTATATCTTTAAAAGATTAGGTGGCGGGGCTGGGGACGTGGCTCAAGCGGTACTGCGCTCGCCTGGCATGCGTGCGGCCTGGGTTTGATCCTCAGTGCCACATGCAAATAAACATGATGTGTCTGCCGAAAACCAAAAAATAAATATTAAAATTCTCTCTCTTTAAAAAAAGAAGAGTTAAAAAAAAAGAAAAAAAGATTAGGTGGCTTTCCAAGAAATATGGCTGTCATTTCAAATTTGTCAGGATGCAAAGTTTTGTCTGAAAAACAAGAACAAGCATTTCATACAATTTTTAAAATATTTTGCAATGTGTCACTTTTTTGGCACCATTTTACTTTTAACTTTAGATGTTTCTGCTTAAGTTTTCTAAAGTCTCTCTATTTTTAAAAATGTTTCAGCAACAAAACCCTGTTCAGTAAGTTGCATTGCATATTGACGTGATTTTTGTCTTTTCTTTAAAAGTAAGTCACCATCTTAGTTATGGTGATGTAAGCTTAGTATGTCTATGAAAATTAGATACTTTTTATTAAATGCTTTTTTGGAAATGTTTTATAAATAGGTACATTTAGTTCAAGTGTTCATTTTTGTTTGAAAAGTACTGTTTATTTTTTTATTGACAGGTAGTCTTGTAAAGCTCAAGTTCTGTGTGTCTTGTCTTATTTGTTTCTGTTCTTTTCACTAGGAACTGAGTAATGGCTCCATGGTTAGGATCACTATTCCGGAAATTGCCACTTCTGAATTAGGTATGATTGATAGTTAGACCTCACTCTTTGTGAGAGCTCTGGTAAGATTTGAAGTAACTGCTGATTTATATCAACAATGGGGATTTTAACACTTATGTTGCTGTTTTGAAGCCACCGGTCAGGTTTTTCATTTTGCAGAGAAGTTGTAGACAACTGAGGGCGCCTAGACTGGAGTACCCGTGGAAGACATGCTCATTCTGACTGTCTGAGATGTCATTTTTTTTTTTTTTTGAGAGGAGGTCTATCTGTGTTGCCCAGGCTGGTCTTAAACTCCTGCTCAGCCTCCTGAGTAGCTGGGACTACAGGTTGCCTCCTTACACCCTGCTTCTCTAGGATTTTCATGCTGAAGAATTTGATGCAGCGAGATTTACAGTATTATAGGGATGTGCTTCTTGGAAGAAAATCTGAGAAAACAGAAAACCTACACAATTAAAATATTTCTTGGCATATTTAGTAATGTTTTTAATTCTAAAGTAAATCTCTCAAGTTTAGATAAATTGTGAAATTAACATAATTACTTTGGATAAAACCTAGTATTAAAGTCAAAATACAATCAGAAATATTTTCAGAAATATTGGAATCTGCTTCAGTTATTACTGAAATGCGATTTGGAAGATAATAGTAGAGAATATTTCTTTTTTTTTTT